ACTGTTTGGTGGAGAGTTCAGAGCCTGAGTCCTACATCCAGCTCGGCACAGGCTCCCTTGCCGTGTGGCCTGGAACAGCTCCCATCTCTGCCTCAGTTTCTTCCATTGAGCGGAGATAAAATGCTGTGGGTGGTGAGATTTTGATATTAGCTGGCAACTAATGTGAGGGCGTGCTCGCTTTCTCATGTACGTACTCCCACTTCGTGTTTACTCATCTCGGGGCAATCAGGTTGGAAATGAAGATCATCAAGGGCTCCAGTGGCACTCCGAAGCTCAGCTACACAGGGCGGGATGACCGGCACTTTGTGCCCACGGGCCTCTACATCGTCAGGACGGTGAATGGTAGGTGATGAGGGATGGTTCCCCGCCCTTTCCCGTGGCCGGGATGCCTGGCCCAGAGCCAAAAGCTGCCTGCTGAGGGCCATAGTAGCCAGCCTGGCATTTCTTGGAGGTGTATTTTGGAGAGGTGGGGACTGCGTTTCCCCCTGGGGATTGGGTTGGGGCTGGGGAGAGAGGAGCCCAATTGGTCTGTGCACAGATGGTATCCTCATGGCAGGAAAAGGGCCCTCTCGGGGGGCAGCAGCAGTTTCAGAAAGTCAAGCTTGGCATTTCTTCCTTGGTCCCATCCCTTTCTCTTCAGTGCCCTCTGGTTAACAGAGCCCTTGCTTTGCCGGGCTCCCAGAGTTGTCACCCTGGTGGGGTTGCTGAGAAGTAATTATCTTAGTTGTCCTTCTTGAGCGTCTTTGGGCTGGTGATTGAGGCTGCATCCTCACAGGCTGTTCTCTGCCTGCTTTTTGGGAGAGGGGAATGGAAGAACAGGAGTGCAGGAAGAGACACCCCTATGTTGGTCTGCCTCTGGCCCCCATGAATAATGAATATCCTTTATGACCTTTCCCTCTTCCTTCTGTCAGAGCCGTGGACTATGGGATTCAGCAAAAGCTTCAAGAGGAAGTTCTTCTACAACAAGAAAACCAAGATCTCTACCTTTGACCTCCCTGCAGACTCCATTGCCCCATTTCAGTAAGTGGCCCTCTTCCATGCCTTCCCGCTCTGCAGCATCAGGTGCTACTGCCAGGATACCAGCCTTCTTGGGGCATACCCCAAGTCCTGAGAAAGATGGCTGCCCAAGCAGGGGCTCCCCTGAGCATGGGCCGGGTTCCTCCCAAGGGTGGGGATGTGGCCCCCTTCTGGGTAGAGGCTCAGTGAGACACAAGGGATGCCAGGACCTGCTCTGATGGTTGGGGATCCTCAGTGGGCAGGGCCTCATCCAGGCAGGGCATCTGTCCCTTGGAGCAGCCACTGCTTACGTGACTTTCCGGTACCGGCCTGATGGTGGGAACGTACTGAGGGCCTGCAGCCCTGCCCCTTGGGACCCAAGGTCCTAGTCATCCCTCATGAGGACCCAGTGTCCATGTGCCAGATTGTTAGTCCTAGGTTTTGACAGTAACCAGCAGCCCTGATATGCCTATAATTAGCCACTGACACTAGTTTCTGTCGCCACACTAATACTGTTTTATTAAAGCAGCACAGACAGATAAACCAGGAATATCAGTAATTGTAGGAATCCAGTTGGACACAATTAGCAGCAGCAGCTCTTTGTTGGGAAAAGCTGGTTCCGGAAGTCAGGAAAGAGGAGCTGGGGCCTACTGGTTACCTTTTGGCCGCCAGAGGGAGGACCCTCACCTGGAGTCAAATGTCCCCCCCCCCCCCCCCCCCCGATCCAACTCTGAAGAACCAACCCTCTAAATCACGGTCGCCGGGGCTGGGGTGGTGATCTCTTGGTCCTGCTCCACCTGGGTACAGCCCTCTGACCTCCTTTCTCTTCCTTCTCCCCAGCATCTGCTACTATGGCAGGCTCTTCTGGGAGTGGGGGGATGGCATCCGTGTGCATGACTCCCAGAAGCCCCAGGACCCAGACAAGCTGTCCAAGGAAGATGTCCTCTCGTTCATCCAGACACACAGCGCCTGAGGGCGTGGGGATGCCCAGCCCTGCCGAATGACCTGTCGTTCTCTGAGTCAGGGCGCTCTGCCTGGGGCTCACAGTACTGGTTTTTTCCCCTTCAAGGAGAGGGACTGGGGAGTGCAGTCACTGCAGCCTGGCTATAAGGGGTGGGTGGTCTCCTCTCCATTCTCCCTGAAGAACTCAGTCAGGGGCCTTCAGAGGACTCTCACGTTCCTTCTGGGACACCTTTTGAACTTCCCTCCCCGGAGATCTGCCTGCCAGGGCTCAGCCTGAGGATGTTGCTCCTACAGTGGGTTTGAGGTCAGGGCCCAGGGAACGTGCGGCCAGTGGAGGACGTGTCAGAGAACAGCAGGGCCTTGGCTCTGCCCTTCTCTCTTGTATCCTGTAGACTCACTTTTCTGAGTTCCGTGCACTGCCCCCGAGGGCGGCCATGCTCCTGCTCTGCCCAGCTTTTTATTGGGCCGACCCTAAGTGGGTGTAGGCCAGGGGCAGCTGCTGTACAAATCAAGGTTTTGTTTCTTTGAACTTGCTCTGTTTTGATGTCAAGTTGGAGAAGATTTTGCCTCCTGCCCTGACCCCTGTCCGGGTCTTCCCTGGAGTTCTTCTCAGCCGGACCTCTGACAGTCCCGCAGGCCGGGAAGGGAGGCATGTGGGCCACACATCCCTGACACTGCATCATGACACAGGTAGTGTCTTGGCAGTGGGTGTGACTGCCTCCTGGGGTTGTAGAGCCTTCCTGGGCCCCATCCCCTTTCGATCTGAACCTTGGGCAGCTCTAGAGGAGAAAGCAGCCTTGAAGACCTGCCTTTTTCTATGCCCCAGAGCAGTGGCGCCCTGGCAACACAGGGTACCTCTGGGGTTGGGTCACACCTGGCCCTTTGGCAATCATGGCACCCCCATTTGCCCATGGCACCCACCTTGCTAACCCCTCCCTTTGTTTTTCTTGCCCAATAGGAAGTACAGTCACTTTGTTTGTCCTTCTGTGGTCACTCCATTTCCTCTGTCTTGGCAGAGGGGGAAGAGGGGAAGCTGGGCAGTAGCTTTGGGTGGGGGAGGGCAGCTGTGGTCGTTTTTAATGGGAAATACCTCTCAGATGCTCCTAGGGGCTCCCTAGAGCCCCATCCCAGTGCTGGGCTGGTTTCCATGGAGATAGGGCACTGAGACTCCCTGTGAGGTTGCAACTGTATCCGGGGGGAGGGTCTCCAGCCAGCACCCGACCCCTCCCTCCCCAGGTTGGCGGCAGCACGGCTGAGAAAGCTGTATTTCCACCCAGTTCTGGGTGTTATTGGTGTGTCTTGCAGAATCTTGGATCATTAAAGATAAACATATTTTTAATGCTTGTGTGGCTCTGTGCTGGGGGCTATTGCTATTTGTCCTTGGTGCTGTGTGGCCTGGGATTGGCTTGGATGAAACTGCTTGGGCTGGAGGAGAAGTGGGGGAAGCTCTGCTTAAGAAGAGGGGGAAAAGCCGGTTGGTTTACTCAGAACCTGTGCAAGTTCCTGGGCCCCGCAGGCCCTGCTGCTTGCTTCCGGAGGGGGGCCCTGGAAGGGTCCAGAAATTAACGCAGCTCCTGTTGAAAGCAGGGACTGGAGAATGAATGAACCTACAGCCCAGGGGGGCACCTTCCCCCCTCCACATAAATCACACGGCTCCATGGTGGCACCGTGACAATCCAGGATCAGTCTGTGTGACTAAAATAAGAGGCGTCAGACCAATTAGTGTCACTAGACCGGAGAAAGAGAGGAAGGGAGAGACGGTTTCACTGACCCCTGGCCAGCCTCCCCTCCGTTCTGGGTCTGCACGGGGGGTGCTGGGGGGCTGTGCTTGGGGTGAGGTGTGCAGGTGCCAACGGCACCTCCCTCTCGGCTCAGGGCTAGAGCTTCTCCACCAGCTCCACAGCTCTGGTGCTGGCCTCCCACAGCCTGCCTCTGCTTGGCTCCTTCTTTCGCCCTGGCCCTGAGGGTTCTTCCTTGATGTCTCACAGCCTAAGCTTCTGGGGTAGCTCCTTTCCTCGTTTTCACTTTCTTAATTGGTATAGTCTCCATGCCAAGCCCTACTGTGCTCTGCCTTGCTCCAGCCTCCCACTCCTGACCCTCCTGGTCCCAGGGCTGGGAGCACAGTTGGTGGGAGGGTACGTGTTTGCTGCTCTTGGCCCCCACTCCAGTCGGCCCTGCCCCTACTGCTTCTCCCAGCGAGCCCTGCCTGATTTACTGGCCACTGTCACCATAAGTCTGGTCATTACCATGGTTCTTGCTGCCCACTCCCTCTGCCAGGCCTCACCAGCCCTGTTTGCCTCTTGAAGATGGATTAACTCCATGCTCCCATGGGACCTCCACATAACCACTTCAAGTCTCCAGTCATCCTCTGTGCACAGGCTGCACTTTTTCTGCCATAATTAACAGGCAGTGGCACTGACTGGAGGGCAAGACAGCGTGTTTGGGGGGCAGTGGGCAGGGGGTGCCATGCCAAAGCCCTGGAAATGGCTCCCAGAATAGTTTTGGCTTTAAAAATGCTTTCTGTTGTCTAACTCTCCACTTAAGCTGGGGACTCACCTTCGCAGTGTCCCTTCCCCCATCCTGAGTTCTAAGCCAAGCATTTCCCCTTGAACATCTTCCTTGATTCCTGAGTGCCACCCCCACTGCCCTCCAGCTGCAGTCACACCTTGACATTTACTCAGCAGACGGGAGCAGCCTGGCTGTTCTTTATTGCCTTTCCCTTGGGCTGAGGGAGGAACCAGCACACAGTCCTTCTGGAGACCCAGGCCCCACAGCAGGACCAGGAGGCGAGAGGGGCTGGGCTGACAGGAGGCCCTGCTCCAGTGTCTGGGTTGGGGAGAAATGCTCCTGTACCTTGGTTGTCTTGAAGCTTATGGCCTGGTTGGTGGTGACCAGGGGGCCAAGGGGAAGCCTGTGCTGACTGTGTAGAAATCTGAGGCTCACATGGTCCAGTAGGTGTAGATGAGGGTCAGGAGGATGAAGATGGCCACAGAGAGCAGCATGTTTTTCCGGTTCTCCTGCCGAAGCAACTTTAGCTCCTTCTCTGGGAGAAAACAGGGTGGTGAACAGGTAGTTGGGGCCCATCTGCTACTCTCCTCCGCCTCTGCCTCTCTGGTGAATGGGTGTACACGCTGTTGAGAGCAGAGGTGTTCCCGCCCAGCTTCTCTACTTCCTTATCCACAAAAATGACTGTCCTCCTTGATCTGCCCAGATTCTCACCACCTTTTGGCTACAGATCCTGGCCCAAAGGAATCCCATCACCCAATGCTGCTCAACCATTTTTCTGCAAACGCAGTGGAAGTTGAGGATGGAGTGTGTGAGGGGGTCATCAAAAAGGCCACACCTGATAGCCAAGCTAGGTGTTGGCATGGCATCACCAGGTGAGTCCTCTGGCCTGTCACTGCCGGTGGGGGGTGGGTGTGGGGTGCTTCATGGTACTTATCCTTGCAGGGGGTCTCATCTGGCCAACTAGAAACTCAGGGCAGCTGGGACTTTTTGGGCCCGACACTGGAGTAGGTACAGGGTGGGGCCACGCCATTGGTGCTTCCGGTCTTGCCCCCTGCTGGGCATCCAGCTAAGCAGGAACCAGCGACACTAGAAGGCAGGGAGTGCCCACAAGGTGGTCGGGCTCGCCTCTAGAGGAAGCCAGTCCTATTCTATGGCCACAGGGCATCTATTCATCCCCTTGTGTGACATGCAGGTGGGCAGTACTATGCTACCTCTCGGGTGAACTGAGGGCTGGTGCTGCAATTGTAAAAATTGCTAGGTTTGAGACATAACGGATATCCCTTCCCTACTTGTGTGGACGGGCAGATACCTGTACATCAGCTCTAGGCAGGCCAGACAGACTGGGGCCCAGGTAGGGGGGTGTGTGCACACACATGTGCTGTGCATACAATGTTGATTCAAACTCGTCCCTCTGGGAGATCCTCCATCATGTGGACTGTTCTGGGGCTGATTCTTAGCAGGTCTGCTCTCTCAGGGGGAGAACAAAACCAAGAAGTCTGAGGAACCTCTGCAGACCATCTTCCTCTCAGGCTGGCTGGGGCAGGGTTGGGGTAGGGGTGGTAGTAGCCACCCTCCTGCTCTGCCCCCAGCGCCCAGAAGGTGGCAGCATTGCTCCACCCACATAGCCCCTCCTTTTCCTGGGAAGGAGTGTGAGGTGGGAGGGGAGAGGGGGGCGGGGGAGGACGGATCTCCCAAGTCTGGGGGGATGTGAGAGTCTCTTCTGGACCTGACTACAACCATTCCCCTTCATCCCACAGAGGAAGAACAGACCCATAGGCCTCTCCATCTCCCCTGGAACAAAGGAACAAACCTGCTCTTCCAGGCTTACAGTGGGTTCCTATAGCCTTGGCAGAGGAGCGGGGAGGGGGGCAGAGGGGATGGGAGTGGGTTGTGGGGTGGGGGGGGCGGCTCCCTCCCAAAGAACCCTCTTGATCCCCATGACTTGGTGGGCTCCCTGGGCTGTCTGTCCCCTCCTGACCCTGGGACTGGAGGATGGGGCTGGTAAAGGAAGGGAACTTTCTTACCGTAGTTGGAGGCTTTGTTCATCAGGTGGTTTTTCTCCTTCTCCAGAGACTTCCTGTGAGGGGAGGAGGAGTATTATGGCTCAAGCCCTTTTCCGGCCTGAAGGGCAGCTGACCCACGGGGGCAGGATGGATGAGGGGAACAAGGGATCTCCCGTGGCAAGGGGTAGGGTGAATGGAAGCTCAGGGCCAGGGCCCCAGGATAAATAGGAGGGGATGGGGGAAGGCGGGAGTCCAGGGCAGACACGTTACCTGGCCTCTGGGCTCAGCTCTGCCCCATAGAGCCTGGAGTTTACAGCCTCCAGGTCTCTGCGACACTGCGACAGCTTCTCCTCCAGCCCATCGATCTGAAACACAAGGCGCAGCCGGCAGATAGAGATGGGTGGCAGAGCCTTTAAAACTTCCAAAACAGTTGGGATCCTGGGATGGGGAGGAAGGAGCCTCCAGGAGTCTTCTTGGACCGCGCCCTGCCTCCCCTGGCCCCGGCCCCACAGCTGCTTTGTTTCGCTGTCCTCCGCCTCCGCACTGTGGAAACAGCTCTCCCGGCGGCCCCGCCCCTCCGGACCAAGCCTGGGTTGGGGGCAGGCAGGAGCAGTCCCTCAGTCAGCCCCGTCTCCCCAGCACACGCCCAGCTCCACAGGCCTAGCCTAGGATGCAGTGAGGTGCTGCCTTTCCTCAGCGCGCCACACACGGGGGGGATGGGGGGATTAGACGTCTAGGGGACAAAAAGCAGAGGTATTTTTTGCATTGACACACTTCTTAAGGTAGTCTTAAGTTGCTAAGAAGATATGTATTTTCCCATGAGAATCAATAAAAATCACTGAGTGTAAAAAAAGAAAAACAAAAACCGCACAGCTCAAAAGCTGCTTTCTGACTTGGTTCTTGTGCAAAAACATTATCAAGGCAGCTGTAACTTGTAGGGCAAAATAGCTAAGCTCCTCAAAGGCTGGCTGCCAAAGGTATCAGTTTTCCCATTTGTTTTGATTATAGTTTCAGAGCTGTGTTCTTGGGCAAACAATGTGAGTTGTGGGAAAATATTCTGTAAAATTTTACTGGACTGGATCGTCCAAGGCTGGTTCCTGGTATCACACATGTAGCTTTGAAAGTTCATCTATCTCATCGGCCACCTCTCTGGGCCTGGATCTGTTCCAGTATCTCTGCCCTGCTGGCGGGAGCCCAGATTTCAGTGGGTGGGAAGGTTCAGAGGGCCTTGTGTCCCTCATGGCAGCTGAGTGAATAGTGCTTCAGGTCCCGGGGATGCTTGATTCTCCATCTGACTTCACTCACTCTCACCCCATCCCTGGGAAGAATAGCAAATATGACCTCTATTTCACAAATGGGAGCCTGGGATCCCCAAAGGGAATGACTTTTCTGAGACAGACTGGAGTACCTCTCTCCTCATTGGCCTCAGCCAGTTCTTTATCCAGTCCCTTCCAGAAAGGCCCCTGCAGAGACGGTAATCAATGATTGCGAGTGCGGATCCCAGAGTCCCAGGTGGGTGTTCTGGAGCCCGTGTCAGGAGAGAGGCACTTGAAGCCTCTTGCCCCTCTCCCTGGCCAGCACCTACCCAGCCACTTCTGGGTCGGCCACTGTGCCTTGTCCCATGCCTGCCCCAAATGACACACCATCTAGTCCCTTCCCTACAGCCTCCGCTGGCTGCCAACTCCAGGTGCAGAAGCAGGGCCCTGTGGGAGGGAGCAACTGAGGAGCCCTGAGTTGACTGCCTGGTTAATTGTATCGTTTCTTTGCTAACTGGCACCAAAGATAGGGCTGTCCTGGGAAACAGCCTCAGCAAGGAGCTGGGGCCTGTGCCTGGGGATAGTAATAGCCTGATGTGATGGTCAGTGGGGCGGGATAAGAGCAGGTGCTTCAGGCCACCACATGGCCCACTTGTCACAGCAGCACATTCAGCCCAGCCCCTGGGGACCGTGCCACCCCATGGTGTAGAAACCACAGGCAGGGCACCAGATTCCACACTAGGTCCCAAAGCTTAATTCTTGAAGTGCTATCTCCTCCCCGAGGCCTTCTCTGCTGCCCTTGGCTGGAGAGGTACTACCTCCTCCCCTTGGCAAATGAATTAGGCCTTCTCTCATAAGGCTGACAGCACACTAGGTCTTCCCAGCTATAAGCGTCCTACCTCACCTTCCTAGACTCTGGGACTCCTAGGGCCTATGGTGTAAACTTGTAGCCCAGGGATCGAGTGCCACCCAGATTGACCCATTCCACTTGTGTATGTGACTGCCTGGCTCCTAAGGATGCCTGCCTTTGTAGCTCCTCTCCTAGAATGGTGGCCATCAGTCTCTCCTTTGCGGTCACCACAAGGCCTGGCCTGCTGCAGTCTTTGTGTGTGTAGCCATGGAGCAGTGACTCAGGTTGGACATGGGTGGGGCTGAGGAGATAGCGACAGATCTAGACCCCTTGTAGCAACTCGGGCCTGAAACCCTCCCTGAGGGCCCAAAGCTCGAAGAAGCTAGAAGGAGAAACAACTACACTTGCACACAGATTATGTGCTTTGTGGCTAACCCAGTGCAAATCTTTAGTCCTAGGTAAGATTTCTTCCTGCAGCCCCTTGGGCCAAGTCCTAGTTCGCATGTCATTCTGGAGAGAAGCAGCTTGGGGATTTCCATCTCTAAACACCTCTGGAAGGCTACCAAGTGCCCAGACAAGTGGTAATTGGCCCAGAACAGGGCTGGGAACTCATGCTAAGCAAAATCTTTAAATTGAGGTTGGCAAACCACAAGTGGCCAAGCCAATCTGCCTTCGTGCTCTGGGCAGGGCCTGCGGAGCTGGCCGTCGGGAGGCCTTTATCTGAACAAGCCCAATTTATCTGCAGTTCCACTGAATATCCCCACTTTCATTTACCACTTTTTAATGAGGCTTAAACGGACGAACACAAATCAAGGTTTTAGGGACTCAAGTTCTAACCTCCCTCTATGAATATTTATGTCCTGCTGACAGCTCTCTCTGATTCCCTTCTAAATAGCAAGTTCCCCCCCTTTTTATAACCCTGCTGCTTGATGTGGGCTGAGTGAGGGGAGGCTGAGACCGTCAGGAAGCTCTTCGGTAGGCCACAAACCCGTCCTCAGAAGGTGACCCCGCTGGCGGTCAAACGCCCTGCAACAGAAGCCGGCTCCCGAGCAGCTCCAATAATGGGTGCAGATTCAGAGGGACCCGGCTGTGGCAGGGAGGGGAGGGCAGGATGCACCTTTTAGTTGTGACTGGGGTCAGGAGTGGTGCCTACAGAGTGGGGCTGACTCAAGATGGGCCCGAAATGGGGGAGAGGACCCAGAAAGTGGGCCTTAAAGGCAGCCCCTCCTTGGGTTTTCAGTCAGCTCTTGATGGCATGCATGTGGATTATGCACTTCGCAGATTCCTCAGTGCAAATCTACAGTCTTCGGTAGCTTTCTCTCAGCCGCCAGGCTAAAGGCAATAGAGGACAATATAGCCAGGACAGGAGAGAGGGCACAGGGTTAGGACCAGAATAAGAAGACAGATGTCAGAAAGATTCTAAAAACATACAGTCAGAGCTGGGCAAGGAGTTCGGAGCCCAGGTGCCCAGAAGCCTGAAATCGTGGGTCCTGAGAAGTGTGGTAGTGAGGAGAAGGGGCTGTAGTCGGGTGCCTCAGCTTGCTGCTCACTTGCCCTCTAAAGGACTTCCTTAATTCTGTGCCTCATTTTATTCATGTGTAAAATGAAGTTAATGTTTCCTATTTCAAAGAGCTGTGAGGATGCTATGAGGCAATATGTGTAAGGTGCTTAGAACAGTGCTGAACACGCGCATAGTAATTATGAGTTAAGTAAGTGTGTGCTCTCATTATTAGCAGAGGATGGCTTTCACTGGTTCTTTGGGGAACAGAAAGAAAAGTGAGTTAATGTGAGGTTAGAGTAAGAGAAGGAGACAGAAGTGGGGGTGTGTGATGGAGAGGAATCTCCACTCATCATCACTGGCTGGCAGCAGCGGCAAGGGGAGACCATCTAGCTGGGATATGGCCATCCTCTGAGTCTATGGAGGGGCTCAGCAGTGAGGTTGGGGGGGGTAGGGGGCCCGCAGGGTAGCCCTATCAGAACAGCACTGCCTCTGAAGTTAGCTGGCTCAGAACACAGCATGCTGGGAACCTCCCGTTCCTGCCTGGGATGAAGCTGGGCTCGGCTCCGGAGCCAGCACCAACTTGCTGAGGCTGGGCCTGGTGGCACCCAACAATGAGGCCCGGAGCAGTGTCTAAGGGCAGACAGACTCAGGTGCGGTCTGCGTGTGAATGGGCATCTGAGGAGACATGGAACGGCAGGCGCGGCCTGGCAGGTGGAGACCATGTTTACCCGCACCACGGCTCTGCAGGGAGCAGGGATGTGAAGCCCTGGGACTAAGGCAGAAAGAGGCCCCACCAAAGAGACTAGACCAACTCCAGCAGGAAGAGAAGGTTACACTCTGGAGGCCACAGAGGCTCCCAGGACTCTTGGCCAACAGGCTGGATACAGGGTCAGCAGGCAGGAAGAGTGGGGCCGGCCCAAGAGTGGCTCGGGTACAGAGACTTTCCTGGAGCCATCGGGGGCAGCACTGCTGGCCGTGACCGTCCACGGCAAAGTGGTAACAGCCGAGGTGGGGACTGAGCCGAGGCACCCATTCAGGCACAGTGTAGGAGCGAGAGTGGCTACCCCCAATGTAAAGTTACATTACAACATATCCACGCGTTACATGTGTATTCGGGAGACCAAGTGTCCCGTTTTTATACAGGGACAAAGGACACCGCGTCTCTTGGAGACAATGATGAGCAGGTGAAGCACGGCTGCAAAGGGACACGAGAAGTCAGAAAGGTGGTGGTGTGAGCTCTCTACCAGTTAGCAAACTGTGCCTTTTGGCACTTCGCAAAGAGTTGAGGGCTTGGTAGGTGTGAAAACCCACATGCCGTGGTTCAGGGGACTGAGAGGTAGGTGGTGAGTGTGCAGGGTGTCCTGGTAGGACAGCTGGTTCTTCACCCCGAGCCCAGACCATGGGGACTGCTGGTCTGAGCCCAGAAAAGAAGACACAGAGCAGGAGGGGAAAAAGTATATAAGGCAGGGAGTGGGAAGGAGCTGAAGGTCCCAGAGGCCCTGAATCAGGGATCCAGGAAGTCTACACTCGATCAGGAAAGGCCCACGAGTGATTGTACCGCAGACAGGATGAGACCCGCTGCCTTTCTGCTCCATGCACGGACTGGGGAAATAGAGCCTGGAACCTGGTGGGCGGCTTCGAGAGTGGGCAGAAGAGCAGGCTCAGTGAGAAATTTAGGACCACGGAGTCTCCATGGTGGGGGGGGGGGGCGCGGGGGGCGTTTCCTGCATAAGAATGTGAAGATCGGAAGTCAGCCCAGCAGTCGAGGTCCGCAGAGGCCCCACCCCAGCCAAGTGCGGCCACTGATCCTGTTGGCAAGTGCCAAGGGAAGCGAGGGCTTCTCCGTTTCCAGTCACCAGGGGCAGAGACTTCCTGCAGCCCTCCTCAAGTGCCCTTCGGATGCGGCTCGGAGTGCCGCGTGCTTCACGTGCTGTACCTGCCGGTCAGGAGCCCTGAGCCAGCTAAGCAAAATCCCCTCTGCCACCTGACTTGGGGAATAACACCTTATTCTCAGAGCTTTAGGGAAGTCTCCCTGGGGTCCCCTAATGTCATAAAACCACTGTGTTAAGAGAAACTGTAAAATTCGTCTGAAATCCCCGTGAGGCATCTTTTCAGGTGTGTGGAGCCTCCTGGAATTGAAACCCCGAGTGAGGCCTCTTTGGGGATGGTGAACCCGAGTGTCAGCTCACGCACGGATAACTGCCCAGCACACTGGTCAGGTCGGGCCCCACAGGGGTGTAGGGGCCCGCTCCAGGTCTGGCGGCTGCTGGGCCCTCGTGCACAGCTCATATCCTGCTGACAGGCAAAAACCACACTCCCTGCTGCAGGTGCACCCACTGAGGGTGGCTGAATGGTGCTCCCGTGAGCATCTTGACAGCCTGGGAGGTGGCTCCCCACCCACCCCAAGCCACTGTCTAGGACCAGGCTTTCTTCTGGGAAAGTGCAGAAAGCACCCTCAGGACTTAGAGCTCTGGGTTACGCAGGCCACTCTGCTTTCTGGTTTAGGAAGTTATTTCTGGTTTTCCCAGCCTTGCTCTCCAGAGCTTCTGGCCAGTGACTGCCAGAAGTTGCTGGAACAGGTTAACCTCAGGAGTCAGGCAGTGCTCATGGGGCATATCCTACAGCTGCCTGGCCAGCTACTTGCTAATAAAAAGCATGGTGTGGGGGTAGCTAGATGGCACAGCACAAGTCAAAGCAACTTCCAGAAGCCAAAAGTCCATGCAAAACTAAACCACACTACCAGCACCAGCCAACACTTCTATAGCATGCACTGTATGCCAGGCACTGTTCTCAGCACCCCACTCCTAGAATGCTCACAATAACCCTATGAGGGGGCAGTAGTATCATCAGTCAGCGGTCCCCCCATCTGCTGGGAACACGCTCCAAGACCCCAGTGGATGCCTGAAACCACAGATAGTACTGAACCCTACATATACATATATATATATATGATGTTTTTTCCTATACACATATACCTATGATAAAGTTTAATTTATGTATTAGATACAGTAAGAGATTAACAATAGCTAATAACAAAACAATTATGACAAAAGGCCATATATAAAAGTTTTATGAATGCAGTCTCTCTCAAAATATCTTCCTGTACTGCATTCACCCTTCCTGTGCTGATATGAGGTGAAAAATGCCTACGTGATGAGGTGATATGAGGTGAGGGACGTAGGCACTGTGACACAGCGTTAGGCTGCCATCCACCTGACAATATGTCAGAAAAGGGATCGTCTGCTTCCAGGCTGAGCTAACTGTGGGTAACTGAAACCTCAGAGGGTAAAACCATGGATAAGGGGGAACTCCTGTATTCCCCTTTTGCAGATGAGGAAGCTCGGGCCATGGAGATGAAGTCATCTGTCCGGGGTCACAGGGGGTACATGGGGGGGTAGCTGGGCAGTCCGAGTCTGTGCTGTTAGCTGCCACCCCACATACCGGCCCTAAGCCACTCAGCTCCTGAGACTAACCACCACTCCTCGTACCCCAGGCTAGGCAGGTTGTGGCAGCTTCGTGTAGGCTACCAATGTCTGCATCAATTCTGCAAGGAGGGACTGTTTCCGTTTTAGAGAGAAGCAAACTCCCAGTGTAGAGATTTTAAGCAAGGTCATGTAATTGGGAAGTGGCAGAATTGAGGGTCTGAATCTGAGGTTTTCCTGCGTCAGAGCTTATGTTCTTTCAAACACTTAAAGCTCTGTCTCCAAAATCCCTCATGAAAACAGTCATGACAAAGAAGGGTTCTGTGGAACAAAGCCATTCCACATCTCAGTCGAAGCCAATCTAAGCTTGTTGATCTGCTTTCAACAGATTCTCTACTCTGAATAATCTGTACAAGGGCTTTGCCTGCTCTCTGTCCAGGTAACAGATACTCTCTGTGAGGGGAGAACCCGACGGAACTGTGCTTGGAGACAGTGAGACGGGAGCAGAGCGCATGTCCTCATGTTGAAGGCAATTACTCCCCCCCTCAACTTCTGGCTTCTCGAACATCCCTGGCACCCTCCCCCAGATTGCCTAAACTGCCACAGCACCCTCCAAAATTCACAGAAAACAGACCGTTTTGAGAAGGAGAAAGGAGAGCTAGGTAGGCTGGAGAAGCCCTTCTTTCCCCAGTGGGCAGCAAGGCCTTTCTTTTCACGTGCCAACTCAGCTGTTTTATCTCCAGCCCCAGCAGCCTAGGAACTGGATTTCTGGAAATTTTCACAAGTCAGGGAGGCCCCAGGACATTATGGGTAAAGAGGCCAGAACACCTGCCCAGATGGTGTGGCAAGAGCGCTGGGGCTTTCCATCTGAGGCCATCAGGCCACAAAGCCAAGTCACATGAGGGTCATGGGCCTCGATTTTCCAGGTGACCAGCCGCAAACCCCAAAGGGCCGATTGGCCTGACGCTGCTGAAGGGATGTTTTCCTGTGGAGGCGGCTCAGGGCTCTGCGGGGACAGAAGACAAAAACCTCCAACCATGTCTCCCCCAATCCTCAGAAGTTTGTCTCCCAGGCTGAGAAGATGAAGACCATAAACCTTCCCAGTTTTTAATCAAGGAACAATTTTCAGGAAAAGCAGAGAGCCAAAGGGCTTGTCATTTCTCTGGAGACTCACCGCCCCCTCCTCCACCACCCCAGGTCAGGCACATGAGGGGCCCTGCTGAAACGCTTGCAATGCAAGCTCTGAGACCTTGTGAGACCTTCTGGCGCCGTGCTGAGCAGCTCCACAAGGAGAGCCATGTCAGTCCTTGCCTGAAGCCTTCAGCTTTCCCTGGGCCAGAACGTTGTTTGGGGTTTGTTTTCTCCTCTTTCCCCCAATATATATTTTTTGATAAATTACCAAAGCTTCTTCATCGCTGAAAGGCTCAAAGCACTATTCAAGAACTGGCATCCACCCCATGCCTTGTGAATTCATTAATTAAGATGCTGGCAAACAGCCACTCCACACATGCTGACATCCAGCCGTGTTAGGTAATGAGGTTTTAGTCTCCTGACCCCCGTCAAGTGGAATGGAGCCAGACACAGGCTGCCGAGAGAAATCACCTGCCCAATGGCAACCTGTCGCTTGCGCGTGGCAGCAGGTGAGGCTCATTTAATGGTCAGCGACCCTTGCGGTGTCTGCATGCCATGAGCCCTCCTCCCAGCCCCTGGATGGGTGGCTCCCCCGCAAGGTGGTGTCCAACTGTCTGCCCCAGCATGGCCTCCTAATCTCTGGCCAGTGAACCACTCAACGGGGCCCAGACGGCAGGGGCGAGGGTTCAAGTGCTTCCTCCAGCCACTCAAGCCAATTCAGTAAATATTTATTGATGGTCCACTAAGCTGCTTCTGCCCCTTGTCTTAGAAAATTGGTAGATGCCTCCCAGCCTTGTGCACAGCCTCTTCCAGAACTTGTGACTGTCTTCACCTTTGCGTTGGAGGAGTAACGAAGAGGACGCGACCACCGGTTAACCTGAGTGCGGGACCAGGGCAATCGGAGGCTCCTCACCCTCCATTGACCTTGGAATGTACGTTCTGCCCACTGTTCCCACAGTGGGAGCTGTTCCAAGGACACAGCCTTGAGAGACCATGTGTTATGGAGACCATCTGGACAGTATACGTGACTGAACCCAGTTAAGGCCTCTACACAAACTTTGAAGATTTGGCGGGCGGATGCGGAGGTCTATTCTTCTTACTCATGGCCCAAGACAAGCCTCACCTGGAAGTTCCCTTGCTTCCTAAACCTGCCTCTGGAGTGACTTGCCTCTTTCTTGGGTCTCTCTCTGTCGTCCATGGAAGGGGACCAATTTGCAAACCAACAACTTGGTCCTTCTGCCTCCCTATGCAGAGAGCTTACAGCAGTGGCTTAAACTGAACAAATAATTACAACGTCAAGGTTCTTTCCTCCTGTGCTCATCCTGCCTAGGTAATTTTCTCCCCTCAATTTACCACCTCTTTTTCTAGTTAGGATTCTGGTGAATTTAAATGACTCCCATTCACTTTATTCCCTATAGCAGAAACTATTATTTGGCCAACACAACACTGATTCCTAACCCCTCTTCCTTTGCCCACCTTCACTACAGAGGTTAGAAAAGCTCAAGAGATGCTTTCCCATACTCATTGCAGCCAGAGATGGTCATGATCCAGTTCTGGCCAATGAGATGTTCCAGAAGTCAGGTGGAAGACTCCTGGGGCAGCTTATGCTTTTCTGATAAAAGGGACAGTGTTGTGGGGCTCCTGGGTGGCTCAGTCGGTTAAGCGTCTGCCTTCAGCTCAGGTCATAATTCCAGGGTCCTGGGATCGAGCCCCGCATCGGGCTCTCTGCTCAGCAACCAGTCTGCTTCTCCCTCTCCCTCTGTGAGCTCTCTCTCTCAAATAAATAAAAAAAAAATCTTAAAAAAAAAAAAGGGACAGTGTTGTAGTCCCTTTATCCTTCTTCCTGACTTAAAGTTGGGTATGATGACTGGAGCTGTGGCAGCTATCTTGTGAATATGAGGAAACAGCTAAGAGAATGCAGAAATACCAGCCTTGAATCAGCTGAGCTTTTGAACCAATGCCAGTGGCCATTTACCCCAAATTTGTTATGGGGAAGAAGGTATATTCCTATTTACTTAGGTCAGCTCTCTGTACCTTGTAAAGTTTCCAAACTGACAGATTTTTGTACTAGGGGCCAGATCTAACCCAGTTATCCCTCTTAGGATGTCAGCTAAGACAACACACACCTGTTAAGACCCACTGGCTGTTGAAGCATCTAAAGACACCAAGCTGAATGGTCTAGCTGTGAAAGGAAAGTACAATGACCAAGTAACAGCTCATTACTATCAGAGGTTACAAAAACAGAAACAGGGTTTACATCAGCCAAAATCCTATCAGTTTAGACCAAAAATGCAGCCTTTCCCTCCTTCCACACATTACAGTCAGCAAAGCTGGTGATTTCTCATCTGAATGCTCTCTCGTTATTCAGAATTAACTCTCAGAAGCTAAACTCGTAGCCAGTCTTTTCCAACTCTGAGATCTTACAGGGTGGCAAATGAGTTGGAATAAAAAGACCTTGAGAGGAGACATGAGTGAAGGCTGCTAGGGGGTGCCTTGGTTGTTCTGGGAGGTGACTACCCAGGACAGCTGGCCCAAGCCAGCCCTTGGGGTGAGTGCTGCCTGCTTGGTAATTGCTTCATTACAACAAGTGGAGACTGTTTGTAGGTGCTGAGATCACTCACTTGTGGGGGTTTTATTGCACTCGTCAGATTAACAAACATTTTGATTAAATCACCACTTCATTGGCTCTGAGCACATGACTTTTAATAAGAGGACAATATCCACTGCCTCTGAGCATCAGTGCACATTCAATACTCAGATCTGCTGGGGGCAACGGAGGACCAGGTGGGGAGACAGCCAGATGCCAAGCTTTTTCTAAGGTGCAGTTATAGATCTCGAATCTTAGCATATCCAAGCAAAAAGTAACCTTAGAGACCAAGATCACAAATGTAAATTATCTACATTGGTACTGACAGGAAAAAAAAGGGTGAATGTGACTGGTAAAGGCACTAGGAGAGCATATGTCCACCAAATTTAAAACATTTTAGAAACCTGTGTCAGCCAAACAAAAGACATCTGTGATCTGTATTTGGATCACGGTCAATGAACTTATAACCCCTGATGAAATTCAAGGTCTTCATGTTACTGAAAAGGAAACTAAGTCCGAACAAGGGGGCTGGACTTAACCATGATGGAAGACTGCAAAAGAACTATAAAGGCTACTAATAAGGGCACTGTTTGTTGCTTATCTCCACCCTGAGCCAGGCGTGTGCTACATATTTCACACATATGGTCTCCTCAAAACCACACTTGAGTCTGGGAAAGCATCTCTTGAGCTTTTCTAACCTCTGTAGTGGAGGTGGGCAAAGAGGGGTTGGAGACCCACTGGCTGGTATTTTACACATATGGTATCCTCAAAACCACACTTGAGGTTACAAATCAAAACCACAATGAGATACCACCTCACACCAGTCAGAATGGCTAAAATTAACAACTCTGGAAACAACAGGTGCTGGTGAGGATGCAGAGAAAGGGGAAGCCTCTTACACTGTGGGAATGCAAACTGGTGCAGCCACTCTGGAAAACAGTATGGAGGTTCCTCAAAAAATTAAAAATAGAACTACTCTATGACCCAGCAATTGCATTACTAGGTATTTACCCGAAGGATACAAACATAGTGATTCGAAGGGGCACCTGCACCCCAATGTTTATAGCAGGAATGTCCACAATAGCCAAACTATGGAAAGAGCCCAGATGTCCATCAACAGATGGATAAAGATGTGGTGTGTGTATATATACACACACACAGTGGAATTTTACTCAGCCATCAAAAGAATGAAATTTGGCATTTGCAATGACGTGGATGGAACTAGAGGGTATTATGCTAAGTGAAGTCAGTCAGTCAGAGAAAGGCAAATACCCTATGATTTCACTCATGTGGAATTTAAGAAATAGACGAACACAGGGGAAGGGAAGGAAAAATAAGATAAAAACAGGGAGGCAAACCATAAGAGATGCTGAACTATAGGAAACAAACTGAGGGTTGCTGGAGGGGAGGGGGGTGTGAGGAAGGGGTAACTGGGTGATGGGCATTAAGGAGGACACTTGACATAATGAGCACTGGGTGTTATATACAACCAATGAATCACTAAATTCTACCCCTAACACTAATAATACAGTATATGTTAATTAAATTGAATTTAAATAAAGAATTAAAAAAAAAAGCCACCACACTTGAGGTAAATTGCAATCTGCAGTAGAGACTGCGGGTTGTCCACTAAACATGCTAGGCCCCTCTTCTGCAGGGATTGAGCTGTAGCTGGGCACGTGGCCTCCTAGCCAATGAATGCATTTCCCAGCAGCCCCAGCCCCTTGCAGTTGGGTGAGGTCTCGAGTCTTAGCTCGCATCTTTGCCAATGGCAAGTGGGCACTCTGGGCCCATGATTTTTTTTTTT